GACTACATGTGAGTCCAGCGACATAGCCATTATGCCAACTGCTGGTCCCTAGGTAGGGTGTTTTTATCAATGAAAGAGATACACTACATGTAGATTTTCTGATATCATTTATATCAGACAGAGAGAGCAGAAGAAGGTCCTACAGAGATGGGGGGAAAATAGGGTTGGGTTAACGTCCTTAAGCAGAAGCTGTCTGAAGCAACTTGGTGCTATTATTGATCACCCATTCAGCTGGATGTATGATCAGTCTATGGAGGACTGCAAACCTAGAATCATCTTGAGTAAGAATATTTTGTGACAGTCAGCAATCCCTCCTCCTCTATTCTTCTCTTGGGATTTGGGGCCTGGTGTGAATTTTAAGCTTCCAGGTTCAGGACTTGAACTGTGGTTGGCCATGTGGGAGTCCAGCGACCTAACCTTTATGCCATCTGCTGGTCTCTGTATAACCATATTATTGAACTGACTTCCAACCAGAAACACAGCAAAAAACAAGGAGACCCACCTGCATTATTCCTCAATAAAAATGGCTTGGGATTTGCTTTTTTGGGGGGAGATTTAACTAATTCATTAATTAATGTTTTGCATATAGCAAAATATTTGTTTTAAAAAATTTTTGTGTATGAATTCAAGGAGCACAACATGATGTTTTGATACACACACGCATATATAGACACTGAAATTTCTATTAAAGACAAGCAATTTAACATACCCATCATTTTACATAGTTACTTTCACCTAAAATTTACTCTCAGGGGCCAGCAGGTGGCGTGGTGGGTAAGGCGGTGAAATCTCACATCGATGCTCACTTCCCTTTCCCCTCCTGTTTCTCTCTGATGAGTGCACATGACTTATAGCAAATTAAGTAATAATGAATACAATTCAGTACATAATTCTTCAAGTATTTACTATCAGAAAATTTACATCTCCTACTACAGCATCCACTACCATCCTCCTGATGTACTTTAGAACTTAAGAGTTATTGATTCTGTATAACTGTAATTTTGCATCCCTTCGTGTACTTCCTAACCTACCCCCATCTCTGATAACCACTGTTCTGTGTATCTGACTTTTTCTAAAAAATGTGTATTTCTTTTCTAAAAAATTTGTATTTCTTCTTTTTTTAAAAAATTATTTTATTTAACTTTATTTATTCATGCATTTATTTATTTCAATTTGACCAGAGATGGATAGAGAGAGAAAGAGAGAGAGAGAGAGAGAGCAAGCTGCCAGGTCCGGGACTTGAACCATGTGGGAGTCCAGCAATATAACCACTACACCATGGGCAGGCCCCAGTGAAGGTTGGTTTTTAGATCAAAGTTCAATAGAAGGTGAAAGGAAGCAACGGG